CTCTCAAACGACACAACATATGAACTTCAAAATTTGCAGAACAACAATACATTCTAACTACAATATAGGAAAAAAAATTCAGATTTTTTCATGTATTTTAAATACTTGAAATAATATTTTTATTCAAAGAAAATCTCATTTTGTATATTTATATCAGACCAAAAAATCTGAAAGTTTTTTCACACATTAATGTTCTAATGTTTGTTCGGTCTGCAAAGTTTGAAGTTCATATGTTGTTTCATTTTCGAGAAAAAAAAGAAATCTTGTTGTTGTTAGTTAGTTGGAGAGTACGGATCTCAAAGCAAGGCTGGAGGGTTGAGGATAAGAGGTTCCATGTAGCCTGAGCTACAAAGAAACTTTGTGTAGAAATAAGTCGACACAAGGTCCTATGATGTGACCCCCACCGTGTATCACCGGGTCTTGCAAGGTTAGTAAATTGGGTTTTTTTTTCTTTCCCCCAAGGAAGTTCCCCGGCCTCCACTTGGCGCACAAATTCATCATGTTGCTCTTGGGCTAACTGATCATGTCTTTTACATGAAGCATTAACAATTTTGGCAACCATGCTAGTGTATACAAAAAAATCTCTTACTGATGAACAACACTTTGCAACATCAACAAAAACTAATTGCAATTGATGGGCAAAGCAGTGTATATAATGAGCATACGGATTTTCCTCCAAGATCAATCTGTGCAACCCATGAAATTCCCCCCTCATATTTGATGCCCCATCATAACCTTGCCCTCTCAAATTAGACATAGACAAGCCCTGAGTAGCAAATATACCATCCAAAACTACCTTGAGTGAAGTTGCTTGCGTGTCAGGAACATGCTTGATTGCAATAAACCTCTCAATCACCTCCCCTCGGCTGCTGAGATGCCTACATAAGACACAATTGCATGATTAATTTATAACAACTTTGAGAAAATATGTGCACAACAAGACACATATACAATACATACGACGGCACTGACCTCAAACACATAGCCATTTGCTCCTTGATAGATGCATCTCTGGACTCATCAACAAGTAAGGAAAATTTACTATCTCCAATTTCATCAACAATGGTTTTGGTGGTCTCTTCTGCACAAGTCCAATCGTATCTCAGGTGAAGTTAGCTTATGGTTCGCTCTTGCATCCCCAGTCAGTTCTCGTTCTAGTAGAGTCATCATGTCCACGAAAAGCAAGACCTTGGAGCAGCAAAAATTTGATAACACCCAATATAATCAAGATATGAGCTTTGTATTCTTCTTCGTCCTTCTGAGTACCTCGATCAAACACATGTGGCAGATTTTGCCTCTGATTTTTCAAAGCCTCACAGTGTTGTCTAGCCTTATTATGAGCACTATCATGTTTACGAACATGTTCATAAAGAATTTTAGGTCCATCCTTCCAATTCTTAAACCCATTCCTAGTGAATGCTTGAACACCATAGTTGTCAACTCTTGGTTCCTTAAATAGAAAGCAATAAAAGCAAAAGGTTGCATTTTTATCAATGCTATATTCCAACCAGCCGTGATGATTTTTGTACCAAGAATCATGAAAGCTTCTAAACCCTTTTCCTACCCATTTCCATTCATATTTATGATCAGTTGGTTGGCAAGGGCCCTTGGTAATGTACTCCCTTCTAGCAAGATCTCCAATGTCGGGATCCAAATTATCAATAGGTATTCTCTTACCAGGATCTGGCTCAATATCACCGGGCTTAAGTTGAGTTGTAACACGAGGAACGTCATCACTTGCTCGAGTTGAAGGGCCAGTTTCTATTACTATGGAATCAGTGCTTTGTGGTTGAAAAAAGAGAAAAGTATACTTTTCGTCCCTTAATTTTTGACGAAGTCTAGATTTAGTCCCTCAACTGCAAAACCGGACAACTTGCATCCTCAACTATTGACACCGGACAAATTTAGTCCCTAGTCTCGGCTGACCCGGTATCGTTGCTGACTCAGGGTGGTTTTGACCGGTCTATCTCTCTCCTTCCTTCTTCCTTCTCACATTGGCTTACTGAAACATTTCATCAAACACCTTGCACGCATTGCCTGTGCCAACCACGACCAAACAGCGGTGGCTAGCTACTCCCGCTGGTGCTCACGTTGCTCGTGCAGGTGCACTACGCAGTGGACGGCTGCTGGTCGACGCCCTGTGCGCCGGTGTGCTGCTTCGCTTAGGCCAAAAGAAAGCCACGGTTGGGGCCAATGCAGCTCAGTATCAACATCTCCGTCATGCTCTGCTCCATGTTGGTCGCAAACTCGCAACTCGCCAGGGAGCAGTGCAGCTCGGCATCGTCTCAGCTGCTGCGGTCCCCGCCGACGGAGCCCTCGCCGCAGCAACTGGGCGATATGGTTGTTTGGCTCGGCACGCGGCGTCCAAGGAAAATGCCCGTTGTCCACCAGTCATTGTCGCCTGATTTGATCGGGACTCCTTCATCAACCACGTCCCCATCCAGCTCCGTTGCACCACACAGCTTCATGCATGGCATTGTGGCACCATGCTATGTGCACAGGTATACACCAATGCACAAATGTGAATGGCTGCTTGCACGTCCTGCGTTGGCCTGCTGGCTCACCAATCCGCGTACACCAACACCGTCCACGAGTCAGAGACGCGTACGCGACGCACCAGCCAAGCAGCATATCTGCAGCGGATTCTCCTGGCTTCCTGCATGGTGGCACGCCATGTGCAGCAGGAGTACGCTCTGGCCGATGCGCGTTCGTGACGCCGTGTGCAACAGAATGATCGCTGTCGTCTACACGCCCTGACTTCACGAGCGAGCGAATTGACCGTCCGAGATCACGGGAGTTCACACGCACGCCGGCGCGCCAGCTTGTCCGCCACCAGCCGCACCACGCCCACCGCCGTCGCCTTGGAGAGGCTGTACTGGAGCTCCGCGATCCCGCCCAGCATGCCCGTGGTGCTGCCTCGTCGCGCTGCTACTATGCGCCAGATGGAGATGGCGGACACGCTCAGCTTCTCCTCGTCGCCGCCCCTGCACTGGGTTCCACGTGCTCCCAGGCAGTGGAGAAGAGGAAGTCGAGGACGAGCACGAGGTAGCGCCACCGCGCGCGTAGCTTGCCTGCATCCTCCGTGGCCTCGTGGGACACAGTGCATGTGTTCGATGAAATACCTCAATAAGCCAATATGAGAAGGAAGAAGATAGGAGAGAGAAATACTGCCACAAGGACGAAGACCGGTCAAACTATGCTGATACCGGGTTTGCGCAGACAATGGACTGAACTTGTCCGGTTTCAAAAGTTTGGGGTGCAAGTTGTCCGGTTTTAGAGTTGAGGGACTAAATCTAGACTTCGTGAGGAATTGAGGGACGAAAAATATACTTTTCTCTTGAAAAAAAGATGTCATTGTCCTGGTTCTTTTGTTCATCTTGTCTTCGGTCTTCCTGTTAATTGGAACAAATATTAGGAATCATTGCTTTATGGTAATTTGAAGCATCAAGTTCAGAGAGCAAAAACATCTAATTTGAAGCTTTAATTTTAAATACCCCCAAATACATCTTGTTAATTTGAAGATTTAAGTTCAGAGAACAAATATTAGGAAGCACTGGGCAGAGGGGAAATACCTAGCCGGCTGGCCCGACGGTGGCGGCCTGGCGGTTGGCCGGAGGCAGGGCGAGGTCACCGGACGAGCGATCAGTGCAGCGTCGCTGGACCTGGATGGCTGGACGAGAGGCCGGGCTATGTCGCGGGACGAGCGGTGGGATGCGGCAGGGCAGACGAGGTCGCCGGACAAGCAGATGGACGGGGTCGCCTCCTCGCCGGACGAGCATATGGACGGGGTGGCTGGGCGGCGGATGGCGGCTGGCCTTTGCTCAGCTTCTCTCCTGCTCGAACAGCTGGATGCGTAGCCGCGTAGGGTTCCCTCCTGGTTCGATCTGGTCTCGAGGGGGGCAAGTGTTGGGCTGGGCCGCGCCTACGCCCCGGGCCAATCCTGAAATTTTCTAAAATATAGGCTTATTTGTTTTCCGCACGCTCCGAGCCATGGCCCTGGTAGCTTGGGGCCCAGCAACGCCTTTGGTTGAACCCACACCCCATCGCAGTAGACACCGTTGCTACAGCCTGTCGGGAGCACTGTCGAGGTTGTAATGGAGCGCCACCGGCGCTGCGATGGTGTCCGCGGTGAGTGGCCAACGGGGGCTCTGCAACTCCGTCGATGTTGCCTTGAAGCTGCAATGGAGCAAGGCCCGGCCGCTGGAAGTATAGCCGGCGCGGCAATGAAGCCTCGCCGGAGTTGCAATGGAGCTTGTCGGACGCGTCGGTTGCTGCGTTGGAGCTCTGCTGGGGCAGCAATGGTGTTTCGTCGGATGCGTCAGTGATGCATTGGAGCTACGTCGGGCTGCAATGAAGCTGCACCGGACACCGTCGGCGCTGTGTTAGAGCTTCGCCGGAGATCGTCGAGGCGCCATGAGAGCCGGGAGCTACAGTGGAGCTTTGCCGGGGTACAACAGCGTTGTGTTGAAGCTCAGGCTAATTTGTAGCAGCCGCCATTTAGGAATAGAAAAAAAATGAGACTAACCCAAAGGCTAACCCTCGTTGGCAATTTTTTATAGGAAAAACTCCTCAAGCACCATGCGTCCAAGCCAGGACTTGAACCCGGGTGGGCTGGCAGCAACCTCAGCTGCCCAGCCAATGGGTCAACGCCCCGTCCTCGCCATTGAGGAATAGCAAAACCGGATATGGGACTTATTTTTTTTTCATTGACAATATAACCATCCAAATAGAGTTTTTTGAAGAGAAAGGTTGTTTCGTGGAAATAATTTGGGTGAGACTCCTACTAAACAAAATCTGCTAACGGATTGCAGCCCAAGTAAGGACTCTCTTTGGTTTGTTGCATTGGATCTGGATCTTTTTTTTAGTACATCGGTTGGAGTAGCCATATAAGACACGGGCGCATGCCGTGTTGATCCGCCGTATACAAACCGAAAGTACGATCTGCAAAGGAGCCCTAGGCGATCCTCTCCTGTCCTTGGTCAACCCCGGGCGGCCGCATCATGTCCACGTCGGGCCTCTTGTCTGCCATGCGCGGCGCCGGCCGCCAGCACATCACCGGTTCCACCCTCCGCACGGCACCGGCAGCCGGCTCTCACGTCTTCCGGATCGAGGAGTTCACGCGACTCAGGGAGAAGACGGCCAATGGCGTCGCCGTCTTGTCAAGCCCGTTTGGTGTCGGCGGCCACGAGTGGCGTATCAGGTGCTTCCCGAACGGCAGGATCAAAGATTCGGAGGGCCATGTCTCCCTCCACCTCCAGCACGACAGCCACGCCAGGACCGGCGACGTCACGGCGACGTACAAGATGAGCATACTCGACAAGTCCTGGGAGCCGTCGTGCACCCAAATGATGGAGAATCACCGCTTCGAGACAGACGATGGTTACTGGGGCTGGAGAAAGTTCATGAAACACAAAGATCTTGATCTTGACAGAGAGAAGTACCTCAAGGATGACTGCCTCTCCGTCCTCTGCGACGTCACAGTTGACCTCGGGCTGCGAACCACCGATGAGGTTGCGGCGCCCGAGCAACTCAATTCGGAACCAGCGCCTTTGGAGCCTCCTCATGGCTTACATCTCGCGGAAGCAGCGGACGTGATGATCCACCTCGGCGACGGGAAGAGGATCGGAGCGCACCGGTGGGTGCTGGAGGCCCGATCCCCCGTATTTGAGTCTGAAATCGCGCTCGCCCCGACAACCGGCGAGAACATTGCTGAACTACGCGTCGACGGCATGGACGCCGACGTGTGCAAGGCGCTGCTCAGGTTCATCTACACCGACTCACCGCCGGCGCAGCTCGAGGAGGCACCGGCAACGACCGTGGAGCAGCTGCTCATGGCGGCGGACAGGTACGAACTGAAGAAGTTGAGGGCCGCCTGCGAGGAGGCGCTGTGCAAGAAGATCGACGTGAGCTCCGTGGCCACCGCCCTGGCGCTGGACGAGCGGTACGGCTGCCCGGCACTGAGGAAGGCGTGCATGCGCGTCCTCTCTTCTCCCGATAAACTAGAAGCTGTGGCAGCGTCATCTGATGGTTTGGAGAAGCTCAAGACACTCAGCCTCTCTGTCCTGCTGGATCTATTCGACAAGAACATGCCGTTGCGTGAGCAGCAACGGATGCTCCGGACTATCAGACTCGTGTCGGATCAGTCTGATAAAGGGTGGTGAAGGGTTTAGAAGGCCCCCATTCCATTTTCTTTCATCATATATCATCTCTGTAGGAAAAGGGAAATATCATTGCTACAGAAGGCACATGTGCGTAGCGTCTAGCGTCTGGTCTCCCTTCTAATGATTTCATGGTCTGTCGCTCTACCCTTTTCCCATTATTTAGGGTTGTCAGCGTAGTAGTTACACCACTTCCTTGTATTGGTCTGTTTGCTGCGATTTGGGTGGTTGTCGTTTGTGTTTTGGCCGTGCTGTGTTGCCCTGCTTTATATATATAACACGAGACAAAATACACGCCAAACAATACATACAAGGTACCAAAGAGTCCCCTCAAAGCAGATCCTACCCGCACAATAATAAAAATCATAAAACGAGTACGCTACCGAGAACCACTGAAAGGCCCCAAGACAACGCCACGCCCGTTTCTTTTCTTTGAATAGTCAGATGACAAGGCAACAAAAATTATATTGTAATGAATATTTATTTGCAATTGAAATGGAAAACATATATTTATGTGGCTTCAGGCCCCTTTTTGTTATCTAGCCCCAGCCACCCGAAATGTTAGGACCGGGCCTATGTGATGGTTTCAAGCAATTGAAGACGGTATGCCCCTCGGCCTGTTGGAGCTCCTCATGAAGAAGGTGTCGCGACATAAGCCTAATCTCGCGGAAGTGACGATCCACCTCGGCGACGGGCAGACGATGGTGGCACACCGGTGGGTGCTCAAGGCTCCGGTCACCCATCCTCAAACTGGATCTAGCCCTCGCCTCGAACAATGCCACCGCTGACCATCTACTCCTGCTAGAGAATGACAAGGACGCCGATGTGTTCAAAGCACTGCTCCAGTTCATCTACACCGAACGCAGCTCGAGATGGCACTGCCATAGAATGTGGAGCGTCTCACAGCAGCGGACAGGTTTGAGCTGGAGAAGCTGAAGCTCCTCTGCGAGGAGGCGCTGTGCAGGAAAATTGACGCCAGCTCCATGGCGGCGTGCAAGCAGTTCCTCTGGAAAAACGTGCTGACAAATGCGCAACCAATTAGTACCAATGTATTATGAATTTACCAGCTAGCTAGTGCGTTACTCCAATCATAAAAAAATATGAATTTATAATACTCAACTAAGAGATTTATCTCCTTCGGATATCAGATAACAGGGCTTGCTTCATAAGCTAAGCAATTGAATAATAGCACACTGTTTGCAGTTTTGTTGATTGAACTGAAGGTATAATTGTGATCGTTTAACCTTTAGCTATCTCCATCTTCTTCAAATTCCACTGTGTAATCATCTTCGGAGACTACCTCTATCAAAATATAAGATGTATTTTGACACTACGGCAATGTCAAAAAACATCTTATATTTCGATACCCAGGGAGTATTTCAGATATGAGATACAAATACGCCAACTGTGGTTGTCTCAGGACTTTTAGTTAATTCCTGATCAACTAAAAGCCAAACTGTGCCTCTTGGCAAAACAAAGTGACTTAACAGCCAAACTGTGCCGAGAGCCAGATCTCTCAGGCAAACAGAAATTTCCAAAAGCATTTTCCAAAATAAAGTGACTTAACAGCCTCTGGTTCCGTCAGCTCTTTGCCGAGAGGCATGCTCGGCAAAACTGCCACAGCCAACTGACAGTTGCTCCCAGCGCATGCCACTTTGCTGAGAGCCGCACTCGGTAAAGATTCATTCCTAGTTCTGTTTCTTCTGCTTTTCCCTCGGATCACTGCAGCAAAAACAGATATACAATACGCAAACTTGCATTTGAAGTCACAAAGTCTAACAACAAACTCACATAACCAATATATAAATAGTTCACACAAGCTTTATTTGAAATCACAAAGTAGCTCTTTGGTACACGTGCCTACTCACTAAACAACAAAGCAGTCAATGCACGTCTGCATGTGACCACGTGATAAAAGCAAAACCACAATTATGACGAACTGAGAGAGAATTATCAAGTTCTTCCATCCACTGAACCCGATAAGCCGTTTCTGGCTTGCACCATTGCCTAAGCCTAATTCAGATTTTCTCTTATGGTTAAGTACATACTGATTGTAATGATACTCTGTCTTCTCTCTGTTGTTGAACGAGTCGTGGGAGCTGCCTTCATAGCAAAGCACTTGTTCATTGCATTCAGACAATGAATCGTAGGCTCCTGGACACCTACCTCTATACACCGCATACCACTTTATCTACAAAGAAAGAGAAAAGGAGGCAGAGACAAAATGCAAGGTTAAAATATCACATAATACTTAATCTATGTAAGCATTCGTCACTCATATAATCAAAAGCATCGCAAGTGGCAATCCAAGTCCATATCAGCAGCTACATGAGTATATCACTAAATCAATGCCAAACTATCTAGGTGGGCTACTCCGAGATGTAGTCAGTGAAACCAGTGATCGTGGAGTCAGAGCACGTGGGGGCATCCCCCACAATGGAGGAACAAACGTCGTCGAGAGTGAAGGTCGGTGGACTCAATGGCATCGGGTCGTCACACTCCTTAAGTGGTGGGGCTCTCCTCTCCTTAGATGGCGGATTCTTCTTGGCCAGATCCTCAAAATACTTTATTAGGATCAGCTGCGGGTTCTTTTCAATGAGCGCCATCAAGTGGTCCTCGATGCGCTTCTCCTTGACCACGGAGTCAACCCTAATGGAAGCTGTGTCGCCGAAGGAAGCCATAGCCGTGAAATCGATCGGTGCTAACACCTTTCATCCTACAATGAAAAATAGCATAAGAATCAAATATCAAAGATTACATCTAAGAAAATTAATTATGATGGACACTCTCTCACGGATATTTCGACTTTCGGTGATGGTCGATCTGGGTGAGTACATCATGCATGACAAATGTATATCACAGGACGAACTCGCACAGATCGACCGCAATCGGCAAAATTCAATTTTCTTTCTCCAAGAACAACTCTCATCTCTCTCACATATATATGTTGGACACTCTCTGGTGGTGGTATATATGGTGGACACTCTCTCACAGGTATTTCGACTTTTGATGATGTTCAAGCTAGGCGAGTCCATCGTGCGTGACAAATGTATATCATAGGAATAACTCGCCCAGATTGATCGCCATGGACAAATTCTATTTTATTCCTCCAAGAACAACTCTCATCGACACTCCTTCACGTATATATGGTGGACACTCTGTCTGGTGGTTGTATATATGTTGGACACTCTCTCACGGATATTTTGACTTTCGGTGATGGTTGAGCTGGGTGAGCTCATCATGCGTTATCAAGATATAACAGGAAGAGCTCACCCAGATCGACCGTCATCGTCAAAAGTCAATTTTCTTCCTCCAAGAACAACTCTCATCAACTGTCAGTGATGGTTGCTCTTCCTCTATTCCTCCTACTTTGAAAAGATCACAGACGAGGAATAGAGGAAGCGCGACCCCCTACGACAACAATCGGTACCATTCCTCTGAAAACATCTCGCATCTGTCAAATATGGTCATCACTCACTCAAGATAAGAACTAGTACATAAAAACTACTACAAAAAACTACTATGAAAACTACTAGTCCCACTACAAGATAAAACTAATACATAAAAACTAATGCAAAAAATTACTACATAGCATCCATACAAAAAACAAAAACAAGTAGATGCAAACAACAACAAAATCCATGCATACATCCACACATAGCATCCATGCATACAACATCACCAAAAATTATCTACATAGCATCCATCCATCTATCAATCCATACATCTATCTATGCATCCATCTATTTATGCATCTATGCATGCATCCAAATATTCATACATCCATACATACATACATCCACACATGGAGAGGGGGGAGCTCACCAAGTAGACCGAAGGGAGGAGCTCGGTGTGGGGG